GGGAGATGCCGCGAAGGCAGCGCTGGGGCCCCCGACGGAGCCCCCGCGGTGGGACGGGCCGCTCGGTCCCGTCCCGCTCCTGCCCCGGGCCGGTCCCCCGGGCCGAACCCGCGGCGCTAGGCCTGCCTGGAGAGGGTGGGGGGAGGTTTGCAGGGTGCTCTGCGGCCGTTCCCGGCCGACGGGGCTTTGTTTCCAGCCAACGAGCGAAATATTTCGGATGAAGCCGCTCAGACTTTTGGATGAAGTCTTGCAATTGTTCAGGGAAAATCTTTCACTTTCTGGATAAGAAATTCTCGTTTGGGCACTGAGTTTTTTGCTGGAAACTTTTATTTCCATGGAAATTGCTGGCAGAGAATGAAAGGATTTTTTCTTTCTTTCTTTCTTTAAAAAAGAGCAACCCAAGCAGCTCTCAACAGTGGAAACACGGATTAACTCTTTGTTTCACAGCATCAGAAAATGGTGATTTCCAAACAACTTCAACAACTGAGGGCTTTCCTGGTGCTCCAGTGCATTGTTTTAGGCTTGGCATTTGTTTATCTAAGGGAATATTTTCAGAATGAAGAGGTGAAGGGACTGAAAGTCTTTATATTTTTGCCCAAGGCTCAGAAAAAAAAAATATTACATCTGCTTCAAAATAAAAATCTTGTCATGTTTTGAATGGGCAGAAGTTAGTGGGGATCTAATGGAGAGGGCAAGTGAACTACCTAGAAGGATGTTCAGGGGGCAGTGATGAAAGGTAAACATGCAGGAAAGAATTTTGGAAAAAAACCCCAACAATTTGGGAGCAACAGAGGAGAAATAAACCTGACAGATAACCCAGGGAAAGAATCTAGCTCTCCTTGGTCAGATTTGAATAGCTTTCTGCAGAGCCTCTGGCTCCAGGTACAGCTGGCTCAGGGAGAGGAAAATGGGTATTCCCCCAGCTAGGCATGGTGTGCTCTGCTTTGAAGAACTTCCATCCTTCAGAAAAAGATGAGGTTTTGTGTTCCTGTGAAGGAACTGTGTTCATGGAAAGGTGCATGTGTGACCTTGGGGTAGAAGCCTGCCTGGTCTCTCTAGTACTGGAGTAGGTGTTGTTTTTGCTCTCCATCCCCAAGTGTTCACTAAGCTCCTGTTGTCTCCCTTCCCTGGAAGAGTCTTTTCTAGTTGCTTGTGTGTGCCCAGGAAATGCCAGGCCACTGGCTCATGAAGCAAGCCTGTCACTTGGGCATTTCCATGGCTGATGGACTCACTGTTGGGTTGGCCTCAGCCTGGTCTCCACTGGCCTGGCTCACCTGCCCCATAAATTGCATTACACATACAAACTGTGAGGTACAATGGTAGAAATTAGAATTTGCCTTTTAGGGCAAATCGTGGCCGTCCCTTTTACTTGCCAAAAAGCTGACATGAGGAGCTTACACTTGCACCTGTTTCTCTCAAATTGCACTGATGTGGTTGAAGGGAAGATCCAGGACTCCCTGTCAGCTGTATGAGCTAGAGGTATGGGACAGGATGATGTTAGAGATGCAAGACTCCTGCCTGCAGCCTCCCCTTCCTTCCTCTCTTTGGGTTCTTCTCCCAGGGTTGCTGAGGGGTTGCTTAACTGTTTCTTGATGCATCACAACTTTCCCAAGGCAGGGCATTGCTTGACAGCCACAGTTCAGCCATGGCCTGCCTCTCCAGAATGGAAAATACTCAGTGAACTCACCCATTCCCTTCCCTTTTGGAGCTCCATCTGCATGAGCTCACAGGGAAGATGGGGCGCACCCATTGTTCTTTGATTCAAGGGGTCGGTGTGGATGTGACCATCTTTATAAACAAGGAGACCTGCCCACGCCCCCAGGGTGGGCGGAATGTCTAAGAAAAAGCTGATCTGTGGATTTCTTCGCCTTTCCAGTCCATAGGCTTCCATCACAGTGTAACCCTAACCTCTTTCTAAGATCATGGACTGGGCCATCAGAAACCCCAGCTTCTCCCATCTGAGTTGTTGTTCTACCTGCCTTCTCCCTTAGTAGCTGGATGTTGTTACTCCAGGACCTATAGGTACTTCAACTGATGTGGGGCCTGGTGGTTTCCAAGAAAGACAAGACACAAGCAGGTGGGGCCATCTTCAGATTAGTGGTTTGGATCGGCCAGAGCTGTCCTTGCTGTTCGGCTGTGGTGACACGGCAGTCAGAGCTGTGGAGGTGCTGGCACATAGGGAGTAGCCTCTCACCAAGAGCAGAGCAAGAAAGGACCTCAGCTGAGGCAGCAGGAGGGGCAGGAGGGAGCGACTTCAGGAAATCCAGCATCCTGGATGAGTGGGCAGCTGGGCTGGATGACTGTAATGATCTTTTCAGGCCTTAAAATTTATTACTGCAGCTTTTAGCTCCAAGTAGCCAAAGGCAGTTGCTCCTCAAGGAAGAGGGTTGATTAATCTCCAGTAGGGCTGTTCACTCTGCTTATTTTCTCCCGCCTGTCACATCTCCTTCAGCCATAACTCACTTCTCAGCTTTTCAGATAGGAGCAGGGTTGCTGCCTCTCTGCAGGACTTCAGATGTGAGATAAATCCCTTTTCCT